GTTTGTAAATAAACTTGATTATTTTTTTTGCTTTAGTGAGTGCATGTTTTATGTTGAGGTAATCCCAAAGCTTCTCAAGATCAGATCTAGTTGGGCAATGTTCAAGCACAATGGGTCCAATACAAAGTTCATCTTCCCATAAGTTTATACCTGTCGCCTTTAAGAACTTGTCAACTAGTCTGTCACAATTTGTCAACCAAATGTTTCCGCAACCGTCAATCACCATCATTGCTATTTAATAATCTAAAGTATGAACTCAGGACATCTTTGACATTGGTCAAATGCTTCAATTGACCTAAAGAACACAGTACGCATAAGTATTATTAATGAGATGTTGATTTCAGTACTTCTATGTTGATATCAGACCGATCCATTCTAGACATAATTTGTTACTGGCCTTGTTGGGCCAAGTCTCTAATTTCTTCAATCTTTTATCAGTGCTTTCCAACTCTCTGTCAAAATACATGTTCCTTAAATCATCATGGTTGGAGGTTGAACCCTCCTCCAATGCTCCAATGAAGCGAATCATGTTGTACATTAAGCCAGGTTGATGGTTGCAACATTAAAGGAATTGCATTTGTCGTAGAAGAACTGCCTATAACCTTACATACACTCTTTCCGCGCTCTCTTGGCATTTCTGGGGCCGATCTTCTGTGTCGTAGAGGCCTAATCCTATGATGGTGTCGCGCATATAAATGATCCGTAGTGAGGCCTCTAGCACGCAAGGATGAAATGGGCTTCATAGAATGAAGATGATCCCTGACGGCTGCGCTCATCTCGCGTAGTAAGATCGCCGCACGAACTCTATCGCTCACAATTTGCTTTGTGCAGAGTATGTTTTGATGGGTAGGACTTATTTCATGGGTATGACTTAGCTCTTCCTTACAGCATCAGGAACTTTGGAGCATGGAGCAACATTTCTTAGTGCGAGCCTTGAAAGGTGGTCATTCTCTCTAGCACACAACTTTTCCACTTATCACAGTAATTGCAATTTCAGAAATAGACATATGTTTTATCACTTCTCTACATCCACCTGAGTGCTATAATTTCATGCTCGGATCTTTTCTATGACCTACTATGCAGCTTATTCCCTTATTTTTGACCATCCCTTGATTGAGAAGAATTAGGAGCAAACGAGTTCTTATAATTCTTTTATAATGAATGACTGCAGGTCGGAGGAGAACAGCAGCCTTCAGAGGCTCGAAGAACGTACGCTGGCGGACTGAGAAGCACAGCCAAACCCAACTCGCAGTCTCGCAGTAAGAAGAACCTCAAGCAATAAGGTTTAGGGTTAATATGCCATGCTGGAATTGTTCAGTATTGAATACATAATGTCGAGCCGTCAATAAAGAAAAACACTGCGTACTCATCGATTATGCGTATTTTGTGCGTACACCTACACGTGCACATTGCGTGTTTTGGAGCAGATGTAATTTATGTATGATTGTATTATTAAGTTAATAAACATGATTTCTAGGTTTGTTTGAGTACTGGAGTGTTAATTATTTTATTGTGCGTACATTATGCGTATCTATGCGTTATATAGTGGTAAACTATGCGTTCACCAACATTTTATTGGCGTGTCACATGCGCACATTGCGTATTTCTTAAAAAGATAAAGTCAAAGAGAAAAAAGACATTTAATGTACATCTTTAAATACAAAAAGAACATTTGACTATGTACAATATTAAAATATAAGAACAAAATTAAAAGAACATTATAACAAATACAATTTTACAAGAGAACCCTAATGCTACAATCTTCAACAAGGACAGACAACATAACTTTCCTAAGGAATTATGATTGATGTCTTGTCCCAATATAAATCACCTTGACAACCAAGCCTCCTCCATCACTGCGATACCTTATCCTCTCCCATGTCTGATGCCAAATACATTGTTAAACAGATAACCTGGTCAGGTTAGAGGGTTAAGTTTACAAGTTATGGCCATTAATTTCATGGGAGAGAATAAGTATCGCAGTAATGAAGGAAGCTTGTTGTCAAAGATTATTTATAATAAGCAACACATCAATCATTCCCATAAAAATATGATTTGTAACAGAAGTAATCGGCTTAACAGAAGGGTAAAATTTTTTACAAAGAAGCTTCTGACACAATTGCAATATCTATGCAGCGTCCTTAGCATATAAGTGAAAGAATTTAATGTTGGCAATAGTAAAGTATAATTGTAATAAATGTCATAAAAATTCAACCTACCCATTATCTCACAACCATATCTTGCCACCCGTCAGTCCACAGCTAACGAAAATTATTATTCATCGTCACGGCCCTCAGCCATACTCCAACCTAATGTAAGTAATCAAAATTTTAATAGAATGTGTGCGTGTTTATGCGTACTAAAGCGTAATTTATGCGTTTTGTTGTGCGTTTTAAAGCGTACGTTTACTGCGTATTTTATGCGTTCGTTGTGCGTCTATGTAAAATACATTTCAAATATCAATGTTTTAAATTATTTTTTTTTGCTTTACAAACAAATAAGGAAATTCAAAGACTAATCTTGAACGAAATTGCAAATCACAATTCCCAAACAAACATCATATTCATTATTCCTCTCTAAATACCAATCCCCACAAGAGCCATAAGACCCTTTGTAACTTTGTTCAAAGTATCTGTTGCGAAGATTGAAAATGAAAATCATACAAATCTACAAGAGCATAAAACACTAATCATATTCATTATTTTTCATGATTTTAAGTAAGTACTTACAAACAAAGAATATATATGAATTAAAATATTAATATAATTTTATGAATAAAATTATGCTTAGTGTGCGTGTATGCGTGCAGTTATGCCATACGATAGCGTTCGTCATGCGTATTGCGAGTTCCATATGCGTATTATGCGTTCGTGTCGTTTTATGTTTAATATGTAATTTTTTACTCAAACAATGTAATAACATTTAAATACACGAATTGAAAGATATATTCAAAGTGGTCCCCATTATTAGAGAGAGACTATGAATGTTGAGCAATAGTGAAGTATAAAGGCCTCATAAAAAATCAACCTACCTATTATCCCCAACCAACTGTCAAAGGCTCATAAAATATAATAATAGATTTTGAAAATAAAATTTACTGCTTATGTCGCGTGTAGAATGCATGCGTTGATGCGTATCCTATGCTTTGTAAATGCGTATGTTGCGAGTTCATTATGCTTATTTATGCGTTCGTTGTGCGTACTATGGTTTAAAATAAGCATTTTACACAGATCAGAAATGAAAATATTTATGCAATAACAGAAAGCATTATATCACAGATCAGAATAGAAAAACATTTATACACAGAAGCATTTATTAACAACAGATCAGAATGAAAAACATTTAATATACAGAACATTTGTTTATATAATACATTTAAACAGAATGAAAACTGTGTTATTTTGGACAACGTTTTACAAAGTAATTACATTCATAGCAAATTCTGGCCCTAATCTTTGGCGATATGCTTGTGCCATTTGTACTATCAGTCCAATCAGTTGTTGCCTTCTCACAGAATATTCTTTCCATATATTTTACACATAACATTCCACAATCAAAAGAGTTGCCTGGCTGTTTGGTATTCCTTTAATGGTAGGATAAGCTCCTTTTCTGATATCACTATCAAAAGCTCCTTTCGTGTCAGAATATAGGAGCTTTTAACATGAAATATACGTAGAGGCAAGGATTAGTTCTGTATTTTTTTTAAAAATTGAAGAGTTCATGTTCATGTTCTAATACCTAGAGATGCTTGACAGACTACACTTACAATTTTTGGAAGCAACATACCTAATGGCCCTTTGACGCGGTGGTCCCAAGTGACGTTCCATATAATTTCCATTTATGGCTCTCTTCAGCAATCCAACCAGCAAGGGTATGTGATTAGATATCAAGATTGGTTGTTAATACAAATGGTTGTTTGGAAGCGCCTCAATACCCGAATACGCAATTTTAAACCTTGTTATTTTTCATACTTTATCTATAATTACACCTACACCATTTCAAGTACAACTCCTATCAGAATTCCATTATTAAATCATAAACTATCAATCTCCTTAGCCTTCTCTTCTAGTCTCTTCTAGTCATTTAGTTTCTTGAATGCATATAATATTTATTTTCATATAAATCATAATATTTATTAATTTCATTAATTTTCTTGTAAGGGAACCTATATTCTAAGTTCCCATCATAATTGGTTTTTATTTTGACGTGTTTCAAAATATCAAAGTTTTACATTGCTTGGATAATGATTTTTTTAATGTTAAAAACATTGAAGGGTAATGTCACCATTGCATTTCAATGGTATATTACTCCCATACCATACACCTAATCAAACAGCACCAAAGTATTCAGAATACAAGTCTTTTACTGTACTCTGCATATATTTAACCAAACAAAAGTGAAGTTTCCCTGCATTTATTTTATAGACAATCAGACATCCCCTAATTATTATGAATGCATTGCATTTATTTTATACTATATTTAGAATGCCCTGCATGAATGCACTGCATTCCTTTTTCAGACAATCCAATAACCTCATAAATGTAAATATATTCCGGAAGAAAAAGATTTCTTTTGATATATTCGATTGCTTAATTTCCCAGGAAGTGAAACACTTGATTAACCAAACCTCTTCCTGTGATGGATGACTTATCTTTCCCTGAAGTTTTATTTACTTAGCACATTTTTAGGCTAAGTACTATTTGCTACGTTCTTTTTTTTTAATTTTTGATAGTTTTTAGCTTAACAGATTTACTTATTATACCTGTTTAATTACAATTGGTATTAATATAAAAAATATCTGTTTTCCAGACCTTATTAATGCATGGGAAATGCAAGCTTTCTAAACTTCAAAGTATAATTAGTAATTTTCCGATTATACTTACTGTATTATACATTATGATGCTAACAAACCTTGTTGAAGGGGTGCGCTTGCTTATCATTAATGAGGTTTCCTTTCCTCTTTGATTGTGGTGGTCGCCACTGGCATGCTCATGTGGCAGGGAAAAGCTCTCAGGTTCCTCTCTTCCTTCTTGAAGAAAATATGTTGCCTGTTTTGTGCACACAGCCAAGAAGGTTCGCAGTAGTCGCTATTGCAAGGATGGTTGCTAATGCCAGAAACTGTGATGTAGGAGATGAGATTGGATATCATATTGGCCATTCAAATGTCTCAGACAAGACATCGTCAAGGTGCATTTATTATGTTTTATTTAAATTGATTACTTTGTGCTAGTAATATTTACCATAACAACTTTATTTCTTGTATCATGGTCTTGAGGAGGTCCATTTTGCATATACTAGTGGTTAGCGCTATCTAAAACGGGTTTCTCCAGTGCTTGGAGTTTCTACCAATGTAAGGTTTGGGGAGGGTTTGTTACATGCAGCCTTACCTTGCATTTGCAAAGAGGCTGCTTCCATAACCAAGGACGACCTCCATATTACACAAGAGAACTTAATCATTGTCCAAGGCTTGGCATTGAAAAAAATTACCATCCATATTTTATGAAATGTTTAAATGGAATTATAGTGCAAAAGACATGAATATTCGACTTGCCATTTTGTTTTGAAACATTCAATAAATTGACTCTATTATGTTTTTTGGGTGTGATATTGTGTTTTGTAGGTGCCTTAAGAGATTATATTATTCTATCATTAATTTGGCAATCTTCTTACACGTAATATTCTACCATCCATGCTTGCGCATGCATGCATTTTCTTCAAATCTTCAACATTTGCACAGTTTCTTATGTATACTTATTGGCATTTGGCAGATCAAAAATTGTTTTCAAGACTGCTGGTGTTGTGTTGGAGCAGATGCGTGATAAGGGATTGGCTGCCATGAAGTATAAGGTTATTATTCTTGATGAAGTACATGAACGGTCTGTGGAGTCAGATCTTGTTCTTGTTTGTGTTAAACAGTTTATGATGAAAAACAAGGATTTGAGGTATGCTCCTTATCATCATTGTTTTGTTAATGTCTGATTAATTTATGTTTCTTGATGGATATTGTTCTTAAATGTCAGGCTTATCTTCCTATTATGTACTATTATCATTCTATCTTTACTGATGTTTTTTGCCTCGAGTTAATACCATAGAGTGATAATTGTTTTTCCCAGGGTGGTATTGATGTCTGCTACAGCTGATATTGCAAGATATAGGGATTACTTCAAAGATCTTGGGAGGGGTGAAAGGGTTGAAGTGATTGCAATTCCATCTGCACCTCGGGATGGCATCTTCCAAAGAAAAGTTTTCTATCTTGAACAGGTTAATCTTATTATTATTATTTTTTATTTATATAGTTTCTTTCACCCTACTAAAAGTTTGATATGATACTATTCCTTCTTAATTTCTGTCCTATTTATGTTTCTTTCATCTCCCCTTATTTCATTATTGCATCACGATTTTATTCTATTTCTCCATTAGAATAAAGGTGATGCACAAGATTGTGCGAATTTTAGAAGAATTAAGTTAATGTGTCATACTTTAAAACTATGGGAGCAAGTTATGGAGCATAGGTTGCGGCGTGATACTAATGTTTCTCAAAATCAATTTGGATTCATGCCGGGTAGGTCGACTATGGAAGCCATACATTTATTAAGAGGTTTGATGGAGAAATATAGAGAAAATAAGGAGGATCTACATATGATATTTATTGATTTAGAAAAAGCATATGATAAAGTTCCAAGAGAAGTGCTTTGGAGAGTTCTTGAAAAGAAAGGAGTTAATAATGCTTATATTCAAATCATTAAAGATATGTATGCAGGAGCTATTACTTGTGTTCAAACACAAGGTGGTTTGACCAAGTATTTCCCTATTTCGGTTGGGTTACATCAAGGATCAGCCTTAAGCCCATATCTTTTTGCTTTAGTCATGGATGTTCTCACTAGACATTTGCAAGAGGATGTACCTTGGTGTATTCTTTTTGCTGATGATATTCTTCTTGTTGATAAGGCTAGAGATGGAGTTGAAAGTAAACTTGAATTATGGAGGTCAACATTAGAGACTAAAGGTTTTCGCTTGAGTAGATCTAAAACGGAATATATGGAGTGTAATTTTAGTAGTAATAGACCTAGTGAGGAGATTGTGACTTTGGGCGATCAAGTCATTAATAAGAGTACGCGTTTTAGATATCTTGGATCTATTGTTCAGAATGATGGTGAAATAGATGGAGATATTATCAGCAGAATTCAAGTTGGATGGTTGAAGTGGAGAAATGCATCAGGCTTGTTGTGTGATAGAAAAGTACCCCTCAAATTTAAGGGAAAATTCTATAAGATGGTAGTGAGGCCTGCAATGCTTTATGGTGCTGAATGTTGGCCATTAAAAGAGAAGCATAATACTAAGCTAAGTGTGACATAGATGAGGATGCTCAGGTGGATGAGTGGCTTTACCCTTAGAGATAGGATACGAAATGAGCATATACGTGAAAAGGTTGGAGTAGCTCCAGTAGAAGATAAGATTAGAGAGAGTCGCCTTAGATGGTTTGGTCACATAAAACGGCGACCTTCCAATGACCCGGTAGAGGTATTAGATTTGACTTATGTTAAGAAAGGTAGAGGCAGACCTAAAAAGACTTGGTTAGAAAATATTAGGAATGACCTTTCTTTATTAGATTTAAACGAGAATTTGACCTTTAATAGGACACAATGGAGAAAAAGGATTCATGTAGCCGACCCCACGTAGTGGGATAAAGGCTTGTTGTTGTTGCGTCTCCATTTGAATCTTCTGCTGTTCTCTGCGTGCTACATGTTTACCTTCACTTATTTCCTTTTACTTTCTTTTTATTGTTTTTCAGTAAAATTTTGTATTTGACCTGGCTTGAACTTTTTCACATTCTTTGTTTTGCAATTTTCCGTCTACTTTTTAGTCTAGTCAAAATTTGTACCTTGTTTCCTGTCTATATTGTTGTTTTTGTCTTACTCTGCAACATTATTCTTCTTGCATTTGATTTTTGATATAGTCCTTTGATTTGTCATGATTTATGAAACTGCCATTATTTTAAAAACTTGATCATGAGACCTGTGTTATGTTTTGTATAAAACATGGTAATGCTATGCCGTGTTTAAATTTGAAAATGCATCCCTCAAATTTGAGGGAAAATTCTATAGGATGGTGGTGAGACTTACAATGCTTTATGGAACAGATTGTTGTCTATTAAAGGAGAAGCATAAAATTAAGTGTTGCAGAGATGAGGATGCTCATTTGGATGAGTGGCTTTACTCTTTGAGATAGAATACGAAATGAGCATATAAGTGAAATAGTTGGAGTTGCTCGAGTGATAGATAAAATTAGAGAGAGTTGTCTTGGATGGTTTGGTCACATAAAATGTTGGATTTCCGATGACCCGGTTAAGAGATTACATGTATTTGATTTGGCCTATGTTGAGAAAAGACAGGTAGACTAAAAAATCTTGGTTAGAGATTACATGCATTTGATTTGGCCTATGTTGAGAAAAGAGAGGTAGACTAAAAAATCTTGGTTAGAAAATATTAGAAATGATATTTTTATTAGATTTAAATGAGAATTTGACTTTTAATAAGACAATGGATAAAATGATTAATGTAGTTGATCCTACATAATTGGATAAAGGTTTGATGTTGTTGTTGTTGTAGTATCAGAATTAATACTTACATATTGAAAATTAAAAAAAAAAAGTATTAATCTAGTTTTCATTGTGTCTAATTTAACCTATTTTATGAGTCTTTGATTAATTAATTATGTTCTTCTCTCTTTCCATTTCCTGGTGAATTCATATCGAATATTCCCAAATACTTTTATGTGGCATGTTCCTGAGTTTATTCTTGATGATGAGATTATATCCCTTATTGAGGTTGGATTTCAAAAATATCATGTCATTGGCATGAAAGAATTATTAGTGAGGGTTCGTCGATTACATTGCAGAGCATCCATATATTGTTTCGCTTGATGAGTAAAAAATGTTAAATTCGGAACTAAATTTGTCAAAGCTGGGCAATTTGATGAAAAAATTAGTATTTATTCTCACTGTAGGCATCCTTCAATTAATAATTCGAGCAAAGTTTATTGTTTTCCTTAGTTGTTTTATTTTATTTTATTCTATAATTTTATTAGCTGGGGACATACTTTTATGATGACCTTGAGAAAATTTGTATTTACCATTTCTAAATTTTAGATTGTTCTACATTGTTTGGTATTTGATAGGAAATACTTGAATATTTCAAGTAAACCCTAACAAAGATAGGTAAAAATTGCAAACGATTCATAAAATATGGTGAAAAAACTCTCAAAACTGGAAATTTATTGCAAAGAGGTAACTAACGGAAATAACAAAAGCAAAGATACAATTGATCCTCAATTGAAGAGGAGGATCGTTCTCCCAATCTCTAGACAACTCTAGAGCCCAAGACATCACGAAGAAACTCTCAAGGGAACAATAATCAAGCATGCCCTAACCCTCACATCTTATACATATTTAAAGCCTTAATTTTCTAGTTAAAAATTCCCTCCCATGCCTTAGCCACCCCTTCTCTTGCTGAAATTAGATCAATTCAAATAGGGGGCCCCATTGCTTTGGGCAACAAACCAAAGAGGAGGCATGTGCCCCATTGCTTGGGCAGCAACAATAGAGGATGCGACAATAATCCGCCTCTTGTAGACCCGAATTGGCCCTTGCTGGGCCGGTTCCACCTAAACCAGCCTAACAATACTGCCCTTCTAATGAATCACCTTGTCCTCATGGTAAACAGAAGAAAACTGATGCTTCACCCTCACCTAAGCCTCCCATGTTGCCTTATAATCTGGAAGATCCTTCCACTTGATCAATACCTCTTTTTCCCCTCCTGCCTCCTAGCGCACCCCTTGTAGCTTAAAGGGTTCTAACATCACTTCCAAATCCTCGGTTAATGTTTGTTGGTAATTCAGAACTTGCTGTATGATCTCCAATGACTCTCCTCTACTAGGATACATGGAACACAAGATGTATGGTCGCCATTGTGGGCTCCGAAAATTTGGCCCCGACCTCCCCCACTGCTTTTTTTCATGGGAATTTTAATGGATTAAGTTCCGGGGTAAATTTTTGGAAGGCAGATGGTTTGTGGATAAGACACAACTTAGATATTTCGCCCTCATTTTTCAAAGCCTTTTTGATCTGGTTTCTGGTTTTCTATAGGCGTAATCCCCTATAGTTAATTACCCCCGCCCTAATTACGAGAGAGAACTTTCGATTAAGGCTAGTCTTCAATTAGATATGTAGAAACACATGCTATTTGGCATATAGTAGCAGTGTGAGTTTTTGAATTTGAAAATTTAAAGATTTTATATTTAAAATTATAAATTTTACCATCTTGCACTTTAAGAGGATGGTGGAGGAATGGATGATAGACACGATCAAGATCCCATGATTTTGTCATCCCGGGCCATCGTGGTCCTTAGTTTACTTAGTCAGAGGAGGTAGTCAATCCAACCAGATAGAAGGATCTTTATTGGCAGGCATGGGTTGCTTCTTCCAAGGGTATCTTGTAAACCTGGGGTACATGTTTATTTAAGGGGACAAAATTGAATCCACCTTAGCTAACAGTGGGCTTTATGCTCTATTGATTATATCTTATTAATTCATATCTCATGGAATTGATGCCACTAAGGAACATATTGGTTCTAGCTATAACCGTTATCTCGTGGTGCCATTTGGCGATAAAACCACTTAGTTTAGAGGGCCCCGAGTCATAACCGTTTTTCCTGCGTTGTTATTTGGCAGTAAAACCACTAGTCATAGGACATGTACAATGTCTTTACTGGTAGGAGATTATTTGAGAATAGATCTTAGTGATATTTTCGACTAGGCATTTAATTCTATGTGAGCTGAAGTAAATTTCAGTTTGTCCACCCTGACAAACTCTTGCGGAGAGTGGATGAATTTTGTTTTAAATGATTTGATGGATTATTTTAATTTTAATTATTTCAGACTTGGATGATTTTTGTAATTTTTGAATTTTTGAGTATTTGGGTGGCATTTTGGATTATTTGTAATGGACCACTCCGGTTAAGATTTGCATTCAACACGACCATCAACGGGGTATATGGGCATTTTCATTGACTAAACCTTGTCGACCCTATCAACTTGTTGGTAAGGGATAAAGTTTGTCGGTTGTGTGATTTTTTAATGAATTTCTTTTGTCATAGACCTTTAATGCCGTATATGAACGTATTAAACATATATTCCGGTTGACGCCTTGACCATATATCTTTTTGATAATTCGAGCAGTGTAATATCCCTATACATCACGTGTCTACTAAAAATATGCTTGCCGGGGCCCTGCGTGTATTTACATTTGAGTGCATGTTGTACAATTAAACTTACGTTTGTTCATTTGTATTAATATTTGGTGTGTGTTTATATGCTTTAAAACTCATCACTTTTCAATCCGCGAAGCACCCTCATACATCACATATATGTGTTACGCTCGTCGGGGGCCTATATGGTGTATGATTGCACATGCCCCTTTTGTGTACCTATGTGTTTACATATTATAATGTATGTGCGGGGGCATTTTGGAATGTTTAATGTCGATCAATTATGCGGGTAACTACCATTTGAATGAAGTATTCCATTTGGGAGTTCGTAGACGCCTTCTGTCTGCATGTAGGGATGTTGCAGATCCAGTGGCGTAGCGTCAGACTACAGGTTGCCCATTGCCTATTTCATATAGGTAAACTATCATGCACTACTCATTTCTTTCTGCAGGTGAATTGTAGTTCACCAACGAATCCCTAGCTTTTTTTTAGGTAATTGTACTCGCCATATACATGTTGCCTTCGCTCGTGGTCAAGTCACTTTGTATTTTGCTTACAGATGTGCGCATGTTATTTAGTGCGCTCGTATGATTAGAAGTATGCATGTGGGCCACTAATGTATTTGTATCATACATTTGTATGCCTTTGGTATACACGCATCATACAATAGGGGCTCGTAGGCGACGCTCTTTTTTAGTAATTGCCGTGATGTGCATACTTTAATTAGAGGTTGTATAACTCGTGACACATAACAATGTATCATTTTGTTTCTTTTTGAAGACAGATGTTCACGGGGCGTACGAGCCGCTTAAATTTAATAGTTGGCGTGCATGTTACCTAATGCACTTGTGCACCCGTGACTTGTAATGTGATGGATGTTTTCTCATTTTTTCACGAAGGGTTTAACCAGAAAATTAAGAAGGATATGCAGTAGTTTTCTTACATGTTTACAATTAATGTAAATGCATTTTGTTGGAAAGGTAAATAAATTTTTTTACTTTTACCCCTCCTTTTTGAGATAATTACTGCCCATATTTAGGTGTATTTACGCTCGTATTTCACATGCTGATGAATACTCTTGGAATTTAGGACTAGAGCTTCAAAATGACATCTTACAATCCTGAGTTAGTGGAGCCCGTAGGCATACCTTCTTTGTCTTTTAGCAAGGGGATCTTAAGCTGGCGGGGCACACAGGTGTACCTTCCTTGTCATTTAACAAAGGAATCCTAAGTGGTGATGCTAGCAAATATTGTGAATTCTATATTATAAATAGGAGGAAGACTAAGTTTATTTCTTTCACACTTAACTTCTGTAAGGAGTGTTGTTGGGGAGTTTAGGTGTACGTAAGTTAAGAGGTAGGAGGAAGAAATTTGATTTCTACTCGTTTGTGAACAACTAGTTCTTCTATAAGTTCAGTGTAAGTTATATTTTGCTATATTTTGGATTCCTTTCATCTTTAATTTTTAGTGTCGGGAGCCTAGGGTGTCGTGTATTTTATTTTTTGTTGACTTAGAATTTTAGGTGGATTTTAATCTCTTTAAAATTTTCTAAGTCCTAGGTTTTGTTGAAAATTTTGGGAGCACCCCAGCGTCGTCCCCGCATAAGAGGCTGCATCGGGGTGTATAAAGCCTTCTCGCTTGCTAAGAAATACAGTCACGGTAGGTGTCAAGTGACACCGCGGCAGCAGTCTCGTTCTCCGCTCGCTAATAAAAGTGGTCATGGGGTCTTCAAGTACTTATTTAAAATATAATATTTTCCCGCCTAAAAAAAAAGCAGTGATGGATACTTAATTTTTTTTGATACATAATAAATATTCCCGCTCGCTAATAAAAGTGATCACGAGTACTATATTTCATGCATACGAATTTTCACTCTTGCTAATAAAAGCGGTCACAGATACTTATGTTTTCTCACTCGCTAATAAAAGCTTCACAAGCACTTATATTTTATGCATAAAAAATTGAAATACTATTGTCGGGTTTATACCTTGGGTGCGCGAAGACCGAGGTAACGACGACGAACAGCAGCGATGAAGGAAAACTTGCGATGCACAATATAATATTTTTTGTTGTCATTCATGCCATTTAATTTATTACATATGCTTTCTTTTAATTAAAAAAAGGAGCTAGAGAGTGAAAAGAGAGATTATCTCTTTTTCTAGAGAGAGAAAGAGAGGGAAAGAGAGGGAAAGATATAGAAAGAGAGGAAAAGAGAGGAAAAGAGAGGAAAAGAGAGGGATTTGCATATGAAGAGGTTTATGATGTGTAGGAGAATGAAGGGTGAGGTTTAGAGAGGGAAAATCTCACTCCAATTTTAGGGAGAGAAAGAGAAGAAATTTTTTTCTCCCTAGGAGGGGAGACATGGAGGAATGATGGTGAAGGGAGATGTTTGGGATGGAGAGGGAAGCGTTTGTGAAGAAATTTCTCTCTTTCTAGAGAGAAAGTAAGGGTGAATGAGTTTTTTAGTTGGGAGTGTGTAGAATGTATGTTAGAGTATTTTTTGTGAAGGGGGATTGGTGGTTTGAGGAGTGAATGTGGAGAAATTGAAAAATTTGGGTTAGGGTTGGGGTATATTTGGAGAAGAAAATGGAGGAAGAAGAAGAAGAAGATGAAGGAGAAGGAATGGAAGAGGTGTTGTTTCAACACCCTGTCCCTCTCCTCCAAATACTCCACTAAAGAAATTGGAGTGCTGCTATGCCCCGAAGTGCACCAGGTGAGATGAATTTCTTCCATACAACACCTTGAAGGGTGTCATCTGAGAATTCGAATGATAAGGGGTGTTGCACCAATACTCTACCCATGCTAGCCACTTTGCCCATAACTTGGGTGTCTCTGACATAAAACATCTGAGGTAGGTCTCCAAGTTCCGGTTGACCACTTCTATTTGATCATCCGTCTATGGGTGAAAGGTGGTTCTCCTCTTCAACACTTTTCCCTGTAGTCTGAACAACTCCCTCCAAAAGTGATTGAGAAACACCTTATCCCTGTCAGATACTATAGTCTCTGGTACTCAATGCAGTCTGATCACTTCCCTTGTGAACGCTGATGCCACTGTCACTATAGTGTATGGATGGCATAGTTGAATGAAATGGACATACTTGCTCAAGCGATCCACCACCACTAAGATCACTTTCAACCATTATGATATGGGCAGCCCTTCTATGAAATCCATAGAGATCTCCTCCCATACTCGATATGGTAAGGCCAGCGGTTGCAGTAATCCTTCTGGAGGTATGACTAAATACTTATTTATTTGGCATACCTCGCATTTGGTTACCATCTCCTCCACATCCTTATGCATCCCCTTATAGTATAGCTCTGAAGCTAGCCTCCTGTATGTCTTCTATACCCGTGAGTGACCCCCAACAGCGCTTCCATAGAACTCCTAGAGTAAGTGTGGAATGTGAACTGATGTCCGGGGCATTACAAACCTTCCCTAGTACAACAGCCTCTCCCCTTCCAACGAATACCCCAGATGGCTACTCCTTTCCCTCAGTAATTTGACCCTAATTTTTTTCAGCTCATCATCTCCGACACTCTCCTCCTTGTTGACCTCCCAATTTAATATCAATGGGATCGATATTGTTGTAGCCTACAGCTCTCCTATACCTCTGGAGAAGGCATCTACCGCTTTATTTTTCACTCATGGCTTGTTTTGAATTTCAAAATCATATCCCAACAATTTGGACAACCATCTCTGATGCTCCTATGCACCATCCATTTCTCCAATAAGTACTTCAGGCTTCGCTGATCTGTTCTGACAATGAAATGCCTACCGAATAGGTAGGGTCGCTACTTCTGGATGGCTAATACGATGGCCATCAACTCCATCTCGTAAACTGATTTCAATTGAGCTCTAGCTGTCAACACCTGGCTGAAGTAGGCAATGAGTTGATGATCATGCATGAGTACTGCCCCCAATCCATACCCTGAAACATTTGTCTCCATTATGAAAACCTGAGTGAAGTTTGACAGAGTTATGACTGGTACAGTGGTTATAGCTTTCTTCAAACTTTCAAAAGCTGTTGTAGCTGTCTCCCCCCATAGAACCCATGCTTCTTTAACTGCTCTGTTAGTGGCCAGGCGATAGTGCTGTATCCTTTCACGAACCTCCTATAGTATCCAGTCAGTCCTAAGAACCCCCTTAGCTCTTTCAGATTCTTAGGTAATGACCATCTTAACATAGCCTCAATTTTTTTTGATCAACTGCCACCCGTTCTTTGGACACAACATGTCCCAAATACTCCATTGGCCTTGGTAAAACAACATTTCCTTAAGTTGGCCCTTAGCTGATGCTCCTGCAACACCTCTAGCACCCTCCTCAAGTGCTCCTATTTATTCTATTGTTTCATTAGTGTATGGTTCCTAATTCTCATATTTATTCTTTTACATTTAAAGAGAACAAGTTTGGGCTTATTTGGTTGTTTTGATCGATGAATCTTAAATTTTTTTTTTTTTATAATTTGCATACGTCACATCATTTTAATTGCATTGGAAAATCTTAACCCTGAACTTTCTTTTCGACTTTTTTACTTTTAATTATTTTTAATATGCAGAATGTAATGTTTACATATTATGAATAGTCAGGAAGTCATCAGATAGTGATTAGTGGAAATTAATATTTTGCAAACCAGGTTGCAGAACTTCTTGATATAAATACACAAGCTTTGTCAGATCGATATTGTTCAGGATCAAGCCCTGAATATGCTGATGCGGATCTGAAACCAGAACTTCATGCTCTTATTCATAAGTTAATTTTATTCATTAATCAAACTGAACCTGATATTGAAAAGAGCCTACTAGTTTTCCTTCCAACTTATCATGCTCTAGAGAAGCAGTGGGATCTTTTGAGACCTTTTTGGTCTCTGTTCAGGGTTCATATTCTTCATCGTAGTATTGATACTGATCAAGCACTCTTGGCCATGCGAACTTGCAACTCTCATCGGAAGGTATGTTTCTAGTTTGTTGCTGCATGTTACTAAGATTTGCATTTATGGCAGTTTCTCTGGAGAATTTGTTCTTGCTACATTCATGTCATCTTTGCATGTTGCCGTTGCTAGATTTTCACATTTGAACTCAAAATCAAGAAATGAAAGGATCACAAAATATTGTAAAAACAAAATTAGAACAAATAATTAAATTGACGATCTTAACTTGATTGCCTCACAACACTTGAATCACTTTGCAATTGATTTGGGTTGAAGATTTTTGCTCACAAGGTTTAAAATGAGAAAAACTAAGAAGAAATTTATAGAAATTTTTGAGATTTTGCAATTGCTTGAAAAAACTTAGATTATTTATGAAAATACTTTGAACTATTTAGGAAAAGATTAAAGCTTTGAAAAAGTTCTAAAATAAATTTTAATTTTTTTGGAAAACTCAAAATTATTAAAAATAACAGTTGGGAGTGAAAATCTTTTAAAAACAAGTAATGGGTTCATATGCTACAGTAACTTGATCCGAATATTTAGATATTTATATTTTTTGTATATCCATCAAATAAATATCAAATATCGATGGCATATGTTGGAGAATATTTTCATTAGACTTTTAGTTTTAAATATTCAATAAAATGTAATAATTAGAAAAAATAATAAATAATAAAGAAATAAAAAAAATAAAAAAGAAATCTTACCAATCTTGGATTTCTTTTGATGAAGAAAAATTTTGATTAATTTCTATCACCGTTGAGATTGTTGTTCAGAGTATGATAGCTGATATTATAATATATAATCAAAATTAGAGTGATATATATATATATATATATATATATAAAGGTAAATCCACCCTTAAAATATTTTCCAAGGACACCTTTTGCTAAAATAATTTTTCATTCTTCAATTCTTCCAATTGTTTTAATTCTAATATTGCTAGTGTTTATCATGAAGTAAGTACAAAGTTCTAATCTATTACATAACAAAAAAATAGTATATGCAATAAATATAATTAAAAAAGTAATCAATATTATTTACCTCAAGCCAATAACTGTAAATACCATTTGATAATTTTCTTTTTATCAATATGTTTGTAGATCATTCATACTTTAGAAATTTTTATAACTAATATAATGGTATATGCATCAAATTTAATAAATTATAATTAATTGTATTAATAGATGAAAAAATATAACAATTATTTGACTTGATGAAAAATTTGGATTTCTCTTGATGTCATCAATTGTTGACAAACTGTTATTTAGTGATTCTATGCTGTCGGTGACAACTAATTGTATATATAAGATTTTATTTAAAATAATTTCAAACTTTTCATGGACATTATAAATTTTTTTAATTTTTCATTTGTAGAAACACAAGTTTTTTTTTGTCTCTAATAAATTATAGAATGTTTTAACTGTTTCATTAAATATGATGACATATTTTTGACTTCTGAAAATAAGATGAGAAAAAAAGTTTGTAATAAATTTTTTAAAATAAAATAAAATTATCTTAAAAAAATTTAGATTATGTCCAAAATTATATTAGTTTTTATAATTAAAAGAAAATATCGCGAAAGAAATATTATCTCCTTATCCATTAAAGTAAGTTTCAGAAGCTTTTTTGTCTAAAATTGAATGATTCACAGTATTCATTTGAGCTAATAAAATAATAATACTCTAATAACGTTGATGTAGAGATAAATTCTTGATAAAATTTGTTGTCTCCATTAGTTTTTATCTGATATTAATAAAATTTCAAATTTGACCAGTAAAAATCAATAAAAAAGTTAATATCTAATTAATTTAATTTAATATATTTAAGGAATAATAATATAATAATTAATTTCAATGTATGTCCATACTTATTGATTATTCGAAAAATGTGATAATCTTTTTATATATAATAGTTTCTATATTTGAACCTTGAATTGAAGTATATTTATCTAGTATGATAAATAATTTTATTTGGTTTATTTTTATACCTCTTGATAATCCTACATAATATTTTATGTGAGAAAAAATGTGAAAGGTAAATCCCAATATTAGGAATTGTTTGACCTTGTAACTTATTGATGTCATTGCATAACACAAATATAACTGAAATTGTTTCCTTTGAAATTTGAATGACAGATATTGTATATAATGGAATCTGAGGTATCATAACTATTTTGCCTGAGAACTGTTCCATTGAAATTTTTGAAATAAGAATATTATGTTTAAATGATTTACAAATCATTTGTGTTCCATTATACAAACCATTTGATGAGTTTGAATTTTTTAAATTATTGGACAATTTTTCTTTAGAATAAGACGATGAGAAGAAACTTGTTCGGTTTCAATGAGTTAAGAAATTCTACTTGATAAAGATTGCAGTTACTTGTGCACTTTTCAAACAATTAGTACTTTTCTTCTTTTAAAAATCATGTCTCCTCTGGGTGGCCTACAAGTTAAACTCCACCCTTTTGGCTCTCCATTAATAGAAAATAATCATGGATCCTTCAAGGAATTGACAAAAACTAATCACATCATTTTGTCCAGCTAATAATCTATGACACTTTTCTTCCTCGTTATGGATTAGTTTCCGTGCATATCTCAATAATATTCTAAATATTTAATTTTGTATAACAAATCAATCTACTTAAATTAGTTTCATAAATTCATCTTGCATGCAAATGAGGCACAAATCAATCTTTGAAAGTCGTTAAAACTCCCTAATTAATTAGTATATTAGGTAGCTCTCCAAATTTGTCTTTATGTTAACCTCTTCACCACCTTTTCGCTATGCCATTTAATGTGGACATAACAAGTGACACCTTTTCCTCGAGGCAATATATATCAATGAGTATCATCTCAATATGTTATAGTCAATTTTTTTGCTTTAATTGGTTTTTCTGCTCTTTTATATAATAGTGGTCATATGGCTTGGAATAACTTCTATTATTTGTCCATTGATGTGGTATTATTATGATACATTGGCAACCCCTGTGGGCTGAACCAGGGAATAGCTGGATCGACCAATCCAACTGATCCTAGACTAGGGAGGGGCGGACCAAGGGGGGCTGAACCTAGACAGATTTCGTCTCCTTTTGCAGGATCAAGTAAAACATTAATTCATTATGTGAGAAGAGGAATTAAGTAAGGGATTAATTAGGAAGGATTTTCTAATTGAAATTCAAATTGGAGAGGAAAATATATTAGTAAATAGGGGCTGATTTTTTTGAAGGGATTAATTAGGAATGATTTCCTATTTGAAATTCAAATTAGATAGGGAAATATATTAGGAAAGAGGGGCTGATTTAGGAAGGAAATATATTAGGAATGGGGGGCTGATTTAGGAAGGAAGTAGAAGAAGCTTTTTAAAGCTTTGTTTAGGATTTATTTTATTTTATGCATAACTAGATTGGTGTGTTGCTGGAGTTTTCTTTTTGTGAGTTCTTTCTAGCGGTGTCTAGGTGATTTGGGTGAGCCGATCTACCTCTTGAATTATAGATCACATGTATCTTCCTTTTTTATTTAAGTTGTAATAAAAAACTAGCCACATATATTCTTATTTCTACAATTTTTCCATCGTGTGATTGCTGTTTTTTCTCCAAGGCGTAGCAAATTGGTATCAGAGCTATGTCTTGGACCGAAATCTTTGTTCTCATTGATTTTTGCTGCGTATGTCTTCCATGTTTGCTGATTTTTGCGGTTGGAAGACATTAATTTCCGTTTTTTGTGGAGTTTTTGCGTTTTGGAAACAAGATCCATAAATGATAGCAAATAAGGTGGAGGCGTTGGAAGGCGAGATAGAGAAATTCAAAATCGGTGTGGAGGAGAAGTTATCTACTATGGAAGAAAAGTTTTCATCTATGAAAAATTGTATGTAAAATTGATTTGGAGGGGTGGGGGAGATGTTAAGAAGGCTCTTCGAGATGCAAACCAAAACTCCACCGGTAGTTCTAATGGCTAAACCCGATCCGAAATGAATCGGGATTCCCTTGACCAGAACTAAGGGAAAAGGAATCGATTAGGAAGAGTTCGACGATATCAAGAATCATCTCCTAGGGCTCTGATAATGGGTGAAATAGGATCTTCAGATAGGGAGACAATAGGAAGGGAGTTTCATGGTGGAGGTGGTGGGGTGGCCATCACTATGGGGGATGAACAAAAGATAAGTGGGATTCGCACCCTTGATACACGGGGGGAACAATAGTGGGAAAGGAAATTGGGGTGGAGATGCTAGGGTGAGGAAGCTAAAAATGTCGATTTTTGAAGAGGAAGATGCTCAAGGATGGGTGTATGTGGTGGAGCATTACTTTTCTATCAATGGGCTTATAGAAGGTGAAAAGCTCATGGCAGCTAGGCTATGTTTGGAGGGAAAAACTTTAGCGTGAGGTACCCACTCCATTGTTGGGGAGAATTTAAAGAGAGATTGTTGGAATGTTTTTGATCCATCCGGAAAGGAGACCACAAGCAATTTTATGCGTTGGGGATAGTCATGGTGTACCGGCAGAAATTTGAGCGCTATTAGGTAGGCTGAGGGTTCTGAGGAAGGTTTGGAGGAGAATTTCATGAAGGGTATGAAGAAAGACATACGAATAGAACTCAGGCTATTGAGGCCAAGGGGGGCTGAGGGAGACGATGAAACTAGCACAAATGGTGGAAGAAAAACATCGGAGGGAAAAGGTCAATAGAAGCAACACCATGGGAGACGCTTACAGGAATACCTTGACGACCCTATCACCGAGGGCCCATATGGTGCATTTTCAGAGGGAAGTATCAAAGAGCACTAGGTTTTCCCTAGAAGCAATTTCAAGCACTTCACAGAAGCATAGGTACATGACGAGGGCAAAGGGGTTATGTTATAGATGCGACAAGAAATTTACACAAGGACATAGATACAAAAATTGTATTTTGCAGGTTCTCCCGGTATGTGAGGAGGTGGACGAGGCAGAGGCAGTAAGGTAGGAAGAAGAGCTTGTACACTTGGAGGTGGCTGAGGTTTTATTGAATTATATAGTGGGATTTACC